GGCATGGGGGGAAGCGGGTACTCACGTCGACAAGCAGACCAAAGGCGACAAACCAGAGGATGGACATGAAGAGGTCCACGGGCCAGTGCACAAAGGCGCTGGAGAAGGGGAGGATCCACAGCAGGGCTAGGAGGATGGAAATGGCCGACACGACAATGGTGTAGATGTGGCGGGCGTTGGTCCACGACGACGCCCGGGAGTGGTCGAGGTAGTGGCCGACGAGACCGGTGACGATGGCAGCAAAGGCCAGCTCCGCGGCGCGGAGGACCATGCTGAGAATGCGGTCGAGAGCCATTGTTGTGTGTTGGAACGGGTTATGTGTGGGTATAAGGTAGGTAGGTAGTAGGTGAGGAGGGGGTTGTGAGAATAGTTGCTTGACGGCAAAAAGGGGTATTGTTGGCTGGCTGTTGTTGGCTGGTTGAAGAGAAGACAGAATTCGACTCTGGGTGGGAGCCAGAGGGCATATTTATCAACATTGTCAAGCAAAGCAGGCCTGGGCGCCCAAACTCAGGGCAAACCAAGCCAGGTTTGCTGCACTGCGAATGCCCAGGCCAGCGTCATCATCCATGGGGTCGGCCGGCCCAGCGTCAGCCACGGCACGCGTAAGGGTTCGTTCGACGTGAGTTACCATGGCCACGCATCAGAGCATCTCGGCAGTGTAGCGGGTACATGGGCTGGACCCTGAATCAGGGCCAGACGCAGGGTACGATGCACTTGGGGCCGTCTGCCGGCTGTCTTGGCCCAACTCGACTGATCGGAGCAGTCCTCCTGACCTCCTGACCACCTACCTTGCGTCAACTGCCGGCAGCCCGCTAGGGAGGTTGAAGGTTTCCGAAGAAGCAGTGTACATAGACAGAGGGCGGTCGCCGCCCATGATCGCAACCTGCACTGCACACCGCGGGAACCCACGTCACTGACGAGCTTGGAAACAAGGGACGCGGCCTTGAGGGGGGGACTGGAGGTCGTGCTCCAGATGCGAATGCCGGGTAACGGCAAACCAAGCTTGCTGGCGAACCTTTTTTCCTGTCTCTGCCTTCTGCCACACGCAAGCCACCGGATACCACCCTACTAAGCAGCGACAACGCGTTGTGAGTGGCCGCCAACAACCTGCAGAGCACTCAACATGACCTCATTGGGCCAGGGGCCCAGCCATCGTGGCGCAACACGACAGGACGTTGAATGGGAAGATTGCCCGAATCTGAAACTTCGACTAAGCGACCCTGCCAGGGCCGGCAATGGGCGGGGGGGGTGTATGGTCTCGACCAACTTATGAGACTGACGACGCCCAGCCCTGTAAATGGAGCCCATCAGGAAGAAAGACGGACGGGACCCCTTGATCGCGATGCCAGGAGAAGGGAAGCGTCACAGCGGCGGGCACTTGTGGCTCGACGGCTCTGGAACCCCGGATCTTCGACGGTTCGACGGTTCGACGGTTCGGACAGGGATAGCAAGTGTCTGGGATCGCGTCGCCAGCGCATCACGAGCGCTCCTGGTGCTGGCTCGAACCTGAGGTCCTCCTTGAACCTGAGGTCCTCCTTGAACCTGAGGTCCTCCTTGAACCTGAGGTCCTCCTTGAACCTGAGGTCCTCCTTGAACCTGAGGTCCTCCTTGAACCTGAGGTCCTCCTTGAACCTGAGGTCCTCCTTGAACCTGAGGTCCTCCTTGAACCTGAGGTCCTCCTTGAACCTGAGGTCCTCCTTGAACCTGAGGTCCTCCTTGAACCTGAGGTCCTCCTTGAACCTGAGGTCCTCCTTGAACCTGAGGTCCTCCTTGAACCTGAGGTCCTCCTTGAACCTGAGGTCCTCCTTGAACCTGAGGTCCTCCTTGAACCTGAGGTCCTCCTTGAACCTGAGGTCCTCCTTGAACCTGAGGTCCTCCTTGAACCTGAGGTCCTCCTTGAACCTGAGGTCCTCCTTGAACCTGAGGTCCTCCTTGAACCTCAAGGGCGGCAACAACTGCCCCATGTCGTCGCCCAAAGGTCGTGGCTGCAAGGGGGCGCAAATCAGGTTCGCGGCGCTGACGTCACGCGCCTGCCGTGCCTCCAGTGGCTGACGCCGGCCCCGCCTTGATGTCCGCGTGGCCAGCCTCGGTGAGCGGTGAAGGTGAAGCTTTCCCGTAGAGTTCGTGCCCAGCCGCCAGCAGTCACTGTGAGCGTGTGGGCGTGTGGGCGTCGGCATCGAGATGCTGCGTCTCCCTGGATCGCCGTTGGCTGGGCTTTCGTCACTACTGCGCCCATGCCTGACTTGCCAGTGCCTGCGTCTCAGGGCCCAAGGTCACCAAGACTCCAAGCAGTCACAGGTGTCACCATGTCAACCCAAATCCAGCACCAACTCGACCCTGCCCACCGCGGTTTACGAATAGCGGGAATCACCTGGATATTCGAGAAAGACTGTAGTCATTAGTCAGAAAGACAAAGGCCAGCAGTGAAATTACGAGTATTCAATGATGCCCTGCAGCGCATGTTGCGGATCTCACAACAGATCTCTCTCTCAGATCTCTCTCTCAGATATTGGGCCGGGACAGTGCGCCACGCAGTGCCATGCAGCAAACAGTAGAAACCTATACGACAAGCGGATTCCAGATTCAAGTTCCTTCAACTGGGGATCCATCACCGCCATGCGCCAAGCATCAAACACCAAGCGCCATTAGAGCTCGTCCGTCTCATCATCATCCGTATCGTAAATGAACACTGATGCCCTTTTTGCCGAAGACGACTCCGTCTTGACCATCGTGTCGGCCGCTTCAACCTTACAGCTGCCCTCTGTCTTGACCTCGGAACTTTCCCGGGCGGCCTCCGCCTCGACGAGCTCCCGCTGCGCCTCAGCAAGCCTCGGGCTCCCTCCCTGATCTGCGGTTTCCACCTTGACCGCCTCGCTCGCCCTGGACGTGCGTTCGGGACTCGGCCTCTCCCGCGAGGTTGACTCCTCGGCCATGAGCTTGCCTTCCCTGACGCGATAAAACGCATCGAGGCAGTTGCGCCGCTGCTCCTGCGTCCAGTTCTCCACAACGAGCGCAAACTGCGTCGCATTGGCGAAGCCAAACTCGCGCGCCATGCTGCAAAACTGCCGCCGCATCACGTCCTCGGGCGGGTTGTACCGGTAGCGCCTCAGCCTGCCGTCGGCCCTGGCGTCCATCACGCGCCCGAGCAGCTGGTCGCCGAAGAGGGCGCTGTTGCCGTCAGGGTTGTCCGCCTGGGACGCCATCTCGGCGGCGCGAGACAGCTGCTCCTCAATCTTGGACGTGCCGATGACCTCGGAGTTCTCGTGCGTGTACTCGACGCCGGCAGAGGAAAGGATGGCCTGGATGGCATCGCTCTTGGCCGATCGTTGCTGCGGCTGCACCGCCGCCCCGTCCGCGTCGCGTGCCGTCAGTAGACTCGCGAGCTGCGACATGCCCCCGTCCTCGGCACTGCCACCCTCTGGACCCTCTCGCTTCATCCACGTAGTCTCTTCGTCGTTTGCCGCCTGCTCCATGTCCATGCCCGACACGGCAATACCGTTGCCGGCCCTTGCTTCCGCAATGTTGGTCTTGTTGACAATGTCGCGGATGACGAGTCGGTCTTGCCGAAAGGTGAAGAGGTTCGCGAGGCCGAATATCTCGCCCTTGCGGTTCTCGTCCTCCTGCACGCCTTGAAAATAGCGCCGCTCGGAGGAAGCCGTGTAGCCAATGTTGGCCTGCTGTTGCTTGTAAATCTGCCGCGCGTACACAATCTCCTCGATCGTGCCCGAGGACACGAGGCGAAAGACGTCGACATCTCGCCGCTGACCAATGCGGTAGGCGCGGTCCTGGGCCTGCAAGTCATAGGACGGGTTCCAGTGAGGGTCGACAATGACAACCTTGTTGGCTGCCGTGATGTTGAGCCCAACACCGCCGGCCTTGGCCGAGATGAGGAAGACGAACTGGCCGGGGTCAGAGTTGAAGTCGTCGACTGCTCGTTGCCTCTCGACGTAGGAGAGAGACCCGTCCAAGTAGGTCACGTTGTAGCTCGTGTTGCTGAAGAGGTGCTGCAAGATTCTCAGCAGCCGGACGCTGTGGGAGAAGACGAGGACCTTGTCGCCGTTCTCGTGCCAGAACTTGAGTAGCTTCTTCAGGACTTTCCACTTGCCGCAAAACTCTGGATTGGCAAGGTTCATGATGGCGTCCCGGTTGCTCAGCAGTTCTTGCCATGTCTCCGGGCAGCAGTCGCGCAGAATCTTAGTCTGCCGTGCCTGCTTATCGTCGGGTTCCGTGCTGGGGGGCACGAGCAGCATGAGGTGATTCGCAAGCTTCTGCAACGTCGTCACGGAGGGGAAGATGATGGATTGCCATGACCTGCCGTCCGCCACCGTCGCATCGCAACACCAGCCTCGCTTCTTGCCAGACCCGCACGCACAGTGATGCGAAAGCGTACGGAGCAGCTCGATCTCTGGCTGTCCTATGAATCGTTTGTAAGCGGCCCGCTGGTCCTCCGTCAGCGGGCAGAAGACGACCCTGTCACTCTTTTTGGGGAGTTGATGCGCAATCAGAGACTTCATCCGTCGGAGGAAGAACCCTGGGAGGAGGTTGGTCACCAGCTTCTTCGCTGTTATGCGTGCGTTGCGCAGTTGATAGAATGTGGCGTCGTGGGACTGCCCCAGCCGGAGAGGCCCTGCGATCGTCCGGTCCCATTCGCCTGCCGTGCCAAAGTGTCCTGGGTTGGTCCAGTTGAGCAACGTCCAGAGCTCTGTGTAGTTGTTCTGTATGGCTGTGCCCGTGAGACCTATGCGGCACAGGGCGTTGATCTGACCACCGTGAATACAACGAAGAGAAGAGAGAAACAAAACAAGAAGCGTCGGCGCGTATCACGTACCTGGTTCATGGCCTTCGTGATCTCGGCCGAGCCCCTCTTCAGCGCATGACACTCATCTGCCACGACGGCGTCCCACTGGATCGTGTTGATGGAGCTGGCGTGATTCTTGTACGTCTGGTACGTGGTCACCATGATCTCCAGCATGCCGGCCCGCGCCGCGCCCAGCACGTCCTCCTTCTGCGCGGTCGAGCCGTGGAACAGGTCAATGGACCACCAGCCCCAGCGATTCAGCTCGTTCTTCCAGTTCTCAATGAGCGAGCCGGGGCAGATGATGAGCACGCGGGGATACCACCGGCGCGCATCCCGCCTCATCTTCCTCATGCGCTTGCCGTCGCGCGCGTCGCCCGTCTTGCCAAACGCGGCCGTCAGGAACGCGGCGACCTGCACCGTCTTGCCGAGGCCCATGTCGTCGCCCAGCACGCCCCCGTTCTGGTACACGAAGAGCCTGTGCAGGAACTTGACGCCGGCGACCTGGTAGTCGCGCAGGTACCGCGCCAGCGGCGCCGGCAGGACGCCGCCCGAGTACTCGAGCTCGACGTCCTCGCACGGCCGACACGGCCTGACGCCCGCGCTCTCGTCAAACTGCGGCCGCACGGGCACCGCGGCGGCGTCGTCGTCGTCGTCTGAGAAATCGACATCGGCGTAGTCGGGCGGCAGCAGGAGTCCGGCCTCCCGCAGCGCTTCGCGTCTCGAGTCGAACGCCCGCCTCCGCTCGCGGAGATAGTCTGGCGCACCGGCGACCTCGTAGTCATCCCGCTGGTCTGTTTCCGCTGCCGCCACCGCTTCCTCGCCCTCTTCCTCCTTCGCCTCTTCGTCCTTGGGCACCTTCTTGCCCTTGCCCTTGCCCGTACCCTTGCTCTTTGGCCTGGCGCCTGCTTTTCGCTTCTTTTTCACGTTCAGATCCAGGCCGTCATCCGAGTCGGCGTCCCACACGACCTTTTCCTCAAAGTCAGGGACGAGCTTGCGCTTTCCGAGAGCCCTGGCGCTAGGCTGCGCCGTCGCGTCGCGCTCCGCGGCGGGTTCATCATCGGAGAGAACCTCGATCACGCTGGCAGGCTTGTTGGGCGCCATGAGGGCGCATGGTGGCCGAACTTCGTCCTGCAAATCCCCAGAAACCTTGTCTGAACCTGTTGGTTTGCGTTGGTGGGTTGGTGGGTTGGTGGGTTGGCGGGGTCGAGATATGCACTGGGGGAGCGGGCGACACGAGGTCGTGTGAGACGCGATGGGGAAGGAGCGTCATGTCAGACCCATGGAGCGAAGTCAGGTGACCTGAAGGCTGTCCAACCACCATGTCCGATGCTTTTTCATGTTTCTGTACTTCTCACTTTACTTTTCTGGAGCCATGTTACTGCTGTTGTCCGATTTGACAGAGCCGGCTCTTAATTAACCTCCATGGGTGCTTTGAGACTTTTGGTCGCTTCTGGGCGATACCAGATAGTCACTGGCTTTTGCAATCACCCATCCATCACTACAACATACTCTGTCACAGCACACGTAGACTGCATGATACGCTCCGGCAAATCGTCATATTTATACAAAGAAACTCATCATGTACTGATTGCAGTTCAAGTTGCTCATCACAAGTGCCTCGAACTGAGACTGGCAAACGCATCTGGACTGTGGCGTCCGTTGGCCCAGTTCATGTCTGCAAACGCCATGCTCTCGCGGCTGACGTGTGCCTTTTGCTGCTGCGCGCCAACATGGACAGCGGGAGCTGCGGGCGCCGGAGCTGCCGCCGGGGCCGCCTGCGCCGTGGGCACATTGCCCGCGAAGAAAGGGTTGTTGCTGCTGCCGGCCAGTGGCATCGACACGCTGCGTGTCGGCTGCTGGAGCTGTGGCTGAGCGGGCTGTGCCTGAGCCTGAGCCGGTGCCGGATTGACTTGGTTCTCAAAACTGGGCGCCGCAGCCCCAGTCTGAGGCGCGTATGGGTTGCCTGTCTGTTGCGGAGCGAGCTGTGGTTGGTTGAAGAGTGCCATGATGGAGGCCTTATCCGCTCGCTGGGCATACTGGTACGTGGGCTGCGACGGAGCGTATTGCCCTTGTTGCTGGTAGAGCTGTAATTGCGGCTGGAACTGCGGCTGGTGCTGCTGCTGCTGCTGCTGCTGCTGCTGGAGATGTTGTTGAGGCTGGACTTGCTGTTGGTACTGTGGCTGTGGCTGAAATGATTGCTGCTGCTGCTGCTGCGGCTGCTGCTGCTGGTTCTGCGCTTGCGTGAAGAACGGATTGCCAACCGACGGCGAGAGGGGCTGTGGAGAATTGTAGAAATGCGACTGCGACTGCTCCGGAATCTGTCCCAGGGGTGGCGACTGGATCCTGGTGGGCGAACGCGCGAAAGGATTGTTGGCAAAGCCGACAGACGAGTTTGTAATGGTGTTGACGGCCAGGTGCTGCTGTGGCATCGTGGTGTGGGCTTGTGTCGTGAAGAAGGGGTTGCTTCCTGTGGGTTGCTGCTGGATGGGCTGCGGGTATGTCATATTACTATTAAAATTCATGGGCGCGTAGGTCTGTGGTGCCTGTGGCATCGGAGGGGCTGCCGCGGCGTGGTCGTAGGTGGGCTGAGATAGGCCGCCGGTATGATTAGGAAAGAGAGGCTGGGCTGGTGGCGGCGCCAGAGACATGTTGCCAAAGGCCTGGCTGATGTCCTGCTGCTGCAGTGAGGCTCCGAAGGGGTTCGCGCCGATGTAAGGGTTCTTGTTC